TCAGATCCGAATTTCCTAGGTCAGCGAAAACAGGAACATGATCAGGAATGTCTTCAGGACAAGGGCAGTGAAAAATGATTGTTTTTTAAAAGTGGTCTTGTGTCCCTCACTTTACCCCGCATAGAGGGGGTGAACTGAGACACAGACATTAGTAGAATCAAGGGGTAAGTGAAACACTTACCTTTATCCTTATAAACTCCGAAAACAACACATGTTTGTAGTTAGATCACTGACAGATGATATGACAACACACATCCAAAACTATATGTCGATGGCAACAATAATCATGGGATTGGTCAATTTAGCACCATGTTTTAAACAAAGTAATCCAAACAGTCAAATACACACATAATATACCTGACTCTTCAAAGTGCTTTAATAAACATCTCAATTAACCCATTAAACCAGTTAGATATAAAGATCCAACGATATGAAACTAGGACGCACTCACAGAACACGGTAGATTGAGATCAGCCCGAATATTACAACAAGGGCCCTACTCAACTACATTCCAGCCTGAAGGTTACAGGGAAAGGTGAAGAGTTGCCTCGCTCCGTGTTTGTCCTCTCAGGCCTATTTACGCTATGAGCGCAGCTTCTTTCACCACAGTCACCGTTTAGGAACATCGTGCCACAACCTCTTTGTTCTTGTTCATAGCAATACGTGGGTCTCTGCCACTCTCTGGTTGATTTATTCCCTTGGATTTTTTCCTGAGGAATTGGGTTAATATTTCGTCGCCCCTCAACCTTCTCAACATGCCAACATAACGGAATACTTCGGTGTTTTGTGCGCAAAGGTTGACAGAGGACGAAGTCACCCACGGGACACGATCCTTGATTTCCGGGGCTCACCCTCTCATCTTCAGAGCTCTCAAAATCATCCTCAAAATGGGACAGGGGCATCATCTCTCCTCCGAGCTGCTATCTACATGATTTTCTTCTGGGTGCCTTCTTTTTCGGTTTTCCCTTTTCTTTGCTATTTTGGCTTTTTCCCCTGCCAGTTTTCTTTTGTTCTCTTCATAAGCCTGTTCTATGATTTGCTTCTCTGGAGTATCTGTTAAGATGGCTGTTCTTACACACGCTTTCGTTTTGTTTGTCCTCTGGGGGACATTTTGGAAGTGGTATGATTTCCTGAGGAGACACATATCCAGGTCGTGAGACAGCTGGCGAGGCACATCCATGTGGACCATGCAAAGTGGATGGAATAGCATCAGCGAGTGGAATAGCATCTGCAGCAGGTGGTTCATCTGCAGGGGGTGGATCATCTGCAGGCCGTGGACCATCCGGGATCATCTGAAGTGGATGGACCAGTGGATGCAGGCCGCAGCTCAGGGTTTGGCCGGTCTGACACCATGGATGGTGCAAACGCCTCCTCAGGGAAAATATCTCTGTTATATGGGAAGATCCCAGTGGACTTGAAGCCAGAGGTGATATTGCGTGGTGTCACTGCTGACAAGAAGGCCTGTTCACAAATCCTGCAATCTGATAGATGAGACTGTTTTGCCAGGGTTAGAATCTCATCCACCCATCAAGAGCTCGGCTGTATAGGGTCTTGAACGGCCATACACCGTCACGTCGAGAGGCTGCAAGCGATGGGATGTGTGGGGTGGGAGGGTGAGCAGAACAATACCATTACTCTTTGCTTTCTCCACTGCCTTGAGTGAGATGTGAGCTCTCAGATTATCCAGGATTAGCAGCATGGGATGGTCAGGAGTGCACTTAGTGTGCTTTATCAAGTGATCGAGGAACTCAGGCCAGGTGTCTTCGTTCATCCATCCTGTTCTGGTGGAGGCACCTTTGGCTCCTGGAGGTGCTCCTATCATGAAGTCGTCCTTAACCTAACTCTGGGGAAGACAAACATGGGAGGTATGGCATTCCCAGCAGCATTCACTGCACACACCACAGTCACCAGTTCTCCTCTCTCAGCTGATGTGATAGAACCAACTTGCTTTTTCCCTTTCTCTGTCACAACCTGAATCAAGTAGAAAGTTTAGAATCAATGGCATGTGCAATCAGTAGGCTACTATTGGTCTAAAGGTACATTTTATTTTGTTGCAGTCCATTCATTTTTTTCTAGTTCACAGGCTCACAACATTACTAATAGCATTAGTTTCAGCATTCTGCCAATAGCTAGCTGGTCATTATCACAAGCCACTCAGTATCAGTCTGCTGCTCTCTAGTAGCTTACCTGCCGTGGCTTTTGTACTGTAAAGACGCCTGTTTCATCCACATTGTAAATCATGTGTGGAGGAAATGTGTGTCTGTTAAAGAAGAGAGGCAAGGGAAGAACCTTATCAGAATCAAAACCAAATCTCACAGGTAAAGCCTCCATAAAACATTTGCAACTAAATAATTAATTCTGTCACCTGTCCATCACTACAGCCAGATTTGTAAAGAACTCCCCCACTGTAGTCTTATTGAAGGCTGTAGCCCTTCCCAGGGATGTTGCCTCCGGAGTTCGGACAGAGAGATGGCGACGGGCTAGAAAGCTGCCACTCTACTCCTAAAGAGTGGACAATTCGTTATTATAAGATAAGCTTTGTGGCAAGATCAGTTGGCCTAAGTTGACCTACAGAATCATGTGATCTCTTGCGCACCCTAGCCTACCTGCACATTGTTTCTCCATCCAATTGGCAGGGACAGGGATATGGTTTTTGTCTGCATATTCAAATGCCAGTTCACGGCACTTAACTGGAGCAAGGCCATGGAACTGATCAGCCAGTTGTTTTAAATGTTGGGCAAGCTCCTCCTCCATCTCATCTGTCAGTATTCTTTTTGCCTCAGCTACTGCACCCCAGGCTACTGATTCAACTCTCCCTTTCTCTATTTTCTTAATGAATCTTTGGAGGGTTGTCTTGTCGATATTTCTTTCCTTTCCTGCTTGTCTTAAGGACTTCTTTCCTTGCATGACCTCTGCAGCTGCACTCTCCATCTCTGTGAGGGGTGTTTGGCCCCAAGCTGTCTTCCTGATGTATCGTCTTGGCATGATGACTTTTCTACAATGTTTATGACATTAAAATTAAAACATATGTATTGTAATATTAGACTAAAATATATATAAGACTAAACTTAACTTGTGCTTCATGTCGGGGTAAAGTGAGTCAGCGTCTCACTTTACCCCACAGCATCTGTCTCACTTTACCCCACAGCCACCATTTTAGAAAAAACAACATCTCTAGGCAATTCAGGCTAATCTTTAACTAGCATCAATCACATGGTTTTATATGTTGGAAGTTCATCAACATGTATGATATAAGTTTTTCAACCTGAACCAATTTGCTTTGATACTACAGTTGATTACGTTCGCAGTAAGAAAATTTACTTTTACATGCAACAAACACATTTTTGTGAAAAAAAATACTTACCACAGAACCAGCACCAACTTCTCCTTCATGACAAGTGGGGGGTGGGAGGGGCTTGAAAACATTATGGTCACATGACCGCAAATTTGTTTCTTTGCCTAGTTACAGCGGGTGTCTCACATTACCCGGTGTCCCACATTACCCCGCTCTCCCCTACTACTTGTTGACCCTTTATGATTCAAATGAAGGCTATCAACGGGTTAGTAATGGGTGGTTTATTTAGCTTTAAAGAAACTATCCACTGATTCACAGAAATCTTTTTCCCAATGTAAATCAATAGGAAAAAGTATTTTTGGCCGGAATGACATCACGGACTAGAACCTGCGTGTAGTACCACCGTTTGGCCACTACGCAGATTTGCTTCAACGCCGGCACTCTTCTTTGGGGCTTGGTGCCATAGCGTAACTTTGCCATGGTTCCTTATGCTTATTTTTTCACCAACGCACACCCACAATGACAATGTGTTTCTTGTCAGCTCCATCACTGTAGTTTTGTCATTTAGAACAATGTTTCATTTGACAGCTTCTCTCACAACTTCTGAGGATAAAAAGTTTATAAAGGCATCTTCTTTTATTCCTGAACATTTAGAATGAAAAGAACCTGTTTTCCGTTGATGAGATTGTTTGTTCTTAGACGCATTTTAAAATGAATCATCGAACTCCCACAATTAAGCCCACATTTGACTTGATGTAAGAGTACATTTGTTCTTCCAGAATGGTATGTTGATTACACTAAACTATCATTACATAAGCGGTGATGAATGTAGTTCTTTGTTCAGCATCTAGTTGCCTGATGGACCATATTATAAATGAGTAGTTTAATTAAACGGTATTAAAAGGTGTCCAGGTTTATGGGGACATAAAATGCTGTTTCAAGGTGGACTTGACATTTAACTTATAAAGGTTCTTCCTCAATGTGACTCATTACATTGTTGCTAAAGGAGAATTTATGTTTCCCATTAGATTCCACATAAATGAAGATCAATGCATTGTAATGACTTTTCTGAGCTCTTTGGCCAAAATTCAATTTCCATTTTAGAATTTAGCAGACACATTTATCCACAGTGACTTTGTAAAATGAATGAATGATCCTTGGGCACAAACAGGCGGATAAGTGCTGTGACAAACTCGAACACTTTTTAAGAAAAGTTCATCAGTTGTGTAAAAAACTTGCATAATTTTTAAAAAAAGCATACAAGTGTACAGCAGTATTTACAGTATTTTCCTGCAGGAGTTTGGCTGAGCAGCAACGTCAATTCTTCCTAAAAGACAAAGTCAAGAGTCTGAAACTTTAGAATAAACATCAAGTCTTATGGATCCCCTTTCAGATACTAGGGGTTGACATCAGTTTAGCCTGCAGCATTGAACCAGCAGTTCTGATTTTTGCATATGCTTTAGATTGGTATTAAAAAGTCACAGGGGCCAGAGGTCTGTTAGCATTATTACAGCGATGAGCTTCATTGCAGCCCAGGAGACAACTCGAATAAACGAAGTGAGTGACTTTGACACAGCCTGTGTGCGTGAGGTGCATTTCAAATCCGGTTAGAGGTTTATAGGCGATTTACTCTACATAAGGGCATCAACTATCTCTCTCGGTCTCTGTCACACACATAGAAAACCAGCAGTATATATCTTTATACCTGGAGTAAACCAGGTTGCACATGTTCTAAAAGCAGCTTGCCGCCAATTGAAATAGATGCTCTGACTGCCTCATCTATTTCGCTCAGAAGCTTCTGCAGCTTCTGCGGGCTGTAAGAGCAGGTTTGATAACATAAGCTTTCAAATATGACCCAGATAGGTGAACTGCAGCTAAGGACTGACACTTGATGTTTAAAAGGGCTTTCTCTGTGAAGGTCACCTGTGCTGCTGTGCAGGCACACACACATGCACGCTCTCTCTCTCACACAGATACTCTAGGGGAGGTCAATGACAGTGTGCTCTCCAAGCTGTCATTGCTGTTCTGCAGTTTGCCTGGAACAAAATGGAAAGTTCCCTTGGGCTTTCACCCTAGCGGATTGAATTTTACAATTGTATTTCTCACAAATACAGAGGCACATTTGGAAGCTAATTTAATGTAAAAAAGCTTTCTTTTGTACGTTTACATTTGCTAAAAGTTTAAAGAACAGAGAATGTACGGCCTTAGCTCCAACAGCAATCCACTACTGGATTTAAAGATGGTTTAGAGAGTGAGATAGATACACAAATGCATTGGAGATCTGTAAGTCTGGAAGATATTTAAAGACATTTTATACAATAGGCTACATGTCAGAGAATAACCTACTGCGTGTCAGGGTCACGGCTCCTGGAACTCAGGTTTAAGCAGCCAGAGTGCACAACCAAAGAATATCAATATCAGTCATGCCATTTTGAATATCAAGTTGCAATGGCAAGAACAGCAGCATTTCTTCTCCATGACACACTTGGCATTGACTGAACAGCAGTCCTTATCAGACACAAATATTCATAGAACAGACTCTCTTGAAAACAACATATTGCACAGTAAAAGCTAGGCAGTGAAAGATACATCTGAAAAAGGCCTGTCCTGATGTCCATACCAACAATAAATCACCTTCTTATAGACGGACTTTGGCAACTTGTGCATTATCAAATCATCTATTAAAATCATCTTATCGGTATAACATTTAAGAATTGAAGGACACAACTCAAAATCAAAATGACCAAGAATAAACTGGAAGATCTTTGGACACCTCAACGGGTGCAATATTGTTAAATCAATTCTTCTCACTTTACCAGCAGAATAAAGCATCACAGCCAACACAGAAATGTAAAGACAATATAAACTCGACAGCTTCAGCCCACAGACAAAGCAAAACAAGAGCAGAAAACGTGAATACACAATGGTTGTTGTTGACGTCCTACTCAGTAAAGTTAGTTGACATTATCAAAAAGTTCGTTGTTGCACTCACCTGTCCTGTCTGAACGTCATTCCGTGAGTTTTTAGCACCGGGAAGTTCTTCACCATCTTCTCCAGTTTTAATTCTCCTGCTAGATTATTCCCAAAGTATAAAATAACCAGCTCATGAGTCTCTTCGCTCGCCCTGCAATGTGTCCAAACAATTTGGGCCCACGAAAGGCGCACACTTTAAAAGAAGGCAAGAATACACCTTGAGGAGGGTTGCAAGATCCGGATGAAAAATATCTAAATTTCACAATTCAATAAAAACCAACCAAAATCTTTACCTTGCCGGAAACCAGTGTAAAACTGTAACTGTGTTTCCCTAAAGACATTACAACTCCAACATTTGCCTAAACAAGTCAGTAATAGGCCAGGAAGTTTGCAACGTTTACTGATATCGTATCACTGTTTTTGACCATTAAAGGGGACCTATCATGCAAAATGCACTTTGTGATGTCTTGTATACATAAATATGTGTCCCCGGTGCGTCGGGGAACTCACGCAGCGTCAGAAAATAAGACCCTCTCTCTTTTCCTCCGTACCCAAATCATTTAAAAACGGGTGTACAACGAGCGGATACAGATTTCCATCCGAACTGACGTGTCCATCCGTGGCGACATCGGCGGACCCACAGAAAATTGCTATCAGAAACAATGCCTGACGTGTTTTGGATGTAATCTCGTCTTTGTTTACATGAGCAGGCCTCGCTAACACTCAGAGCTAACCTGTACTGTAGAGCACACGTGTTTAAAAAGCAGGAAATAAAAAAAGAACTCACCGTGTGATAAACCTGCAAGAGAAAAAGCATTTGAGCTCCATACTATTTCAGAAATAATCCTTGACGTGGTTTAAACAGGATGGCGTTTTATCACAACCAAATTTAACTTTATCTCCGGTAGAATTCTGATCAGGCATTAGCTTCGCTCCGCCTCCTCTTCTTTCTTTTTTTTCAAGCTAAGGACCCAAAATCCACGTTTCTCTAACAGGGCTTCAAAAGAGGGGTTTGAGCAGTATGAGGCATGGCTACAATGGGTGATCTGTTTGGTATTTTGAAAAAAAAACGTCACAGACATTTTTTGTATAGGTATGCCCCTACAATGTATTTTTCAAATATAGCATGATAGGTCCACTTTAAATGACAGCTTGATTTGTTTTTGAAATATTTTCAAATCCCTCCAAATGTTGACAAAACCAGCCCGTATCTTATCTACCAGTTTTGAGGCTATATTTTCCAGCCAAACGTGATTTGAAGTAGCCTAATTTGGGGGACACACAGTATAAATGTTCAGTATCTGGCAACACAATGCTCATTGTTGCTTAATGCCGTATTAGCGTTTAGTAATTTTAGCTTGTGGACCAGCCTGCACGATTATGGGTGTGTTTGATATAGTCATTTACGGTGCGCGCCAGGTGGTGCATTAAATTACCCATCAACCAACATCCGACCTGTGTATTTATTTTGTTACACGCCGGGATAATGCTCTTAACCTTTATATACAGTCTATGCTCTCAACCCACAACTCACAATTACGTTAATCATCATTGAATTGGATTGTAAAGCTTTATTCATAACTGCCAGCTCTCACCTTAGTGGACGCAAACATTGAAAATGTATGTTTTCTCTGCAGCTCTGCCTTCCAGCGGCCACAAACGCATCAGCAGCTTCTTAACATTACTTGAGATAAATTAAATAAAAGTACTCTGGTGAAGTTAAAGTTATTGATTGATGACATTGTGTGTAATTCGTAGATTACACCCCTGTCTATTGGTAAAACAAACAAAGTCTGCCCCATGTTTAAACATGATTGAGTTGTATACTGTAGCACAACACTGAATCAAAGAATGATATGTGTAACCATGCAAGTCATGCTATATTGCAATGCTAATAATGAATTAATGATGAGGAAGTGCAATCAACTCAAAAGGCCTAGGTGTTGGATTTTTCCACAAAGACTGCACAAACATTCAGTTGTAGAGAATAACAAACCTGTATGAGACAATCCATAAAAGGGTTAGTGATTCTATTGTTGTTTGGCATCCACATTTACAGCCTTGCTTCATTTCATTTTATGACTCACGATTCAATCATCTATAACCCTAGACATTATATTCTTTATGAACCAACATCTTTACACGCATGCAGTTTGAAGGTGTTTTGTGCCCCATTATTTAACAAATCTTACCCTCAGTTGGGAACAATTGAAACACATGAAACACACATTTATTTGTTGTTGCATTTATTGTTTGGAGTCTTGATTCTCAGTGTTGTTTGGGGACAACTCTTACAAGCCCACCTGCATTTCTGTCTTCTTCTGCACAGCAGCTATGTTTTGTATCTTTGTTTTCATGTTATGGTTCCTATAAATGGGCTAAATAAACTCCTATCTCCATCTAAACTCCCCAAGGTAATCATATCACGATGCTGTAACCTAACGTGCGTTTATGTATTATCATGTTGCTAAGATAAAAACAAGCCTGAGGTGAGGCAGGCACGCCGAACATGAATCCAGGACCGCAGTCAGCTCAGGGCGGGCCCACGCACATCTCAATGTGTGGCTGATAGCTTCGGTGCAGAAATCTGGAGTCATGCTGGTGCTAAATATAGACAAAGGTTTTATGTAAGCTGATGTGAATCATTCTGTTCCACACATTTCAGCACATTTATTCACACACACACACACACACACACACACACACACACACACACACACACACACACACACACACACACACACACACACACACACACACACACACACACACACACACACACACACACACACACACACACACACACACACACACACACACACACACACACACATGAAGTGACACGGCACAGGTGAAGGAAACACATGGATGTGTAAAAAAACATCCGCAGTGCTCATCACATGGAACGGATTCATAAAAGTGACAACACAGGATATGCCTGCTGTGTGTGTGTGTGTGTGTGTGTGTGTGTGTGTGTGTGTGTGTGTGTGTGTGTGTGTGTGTGTGTGTGTGTGTGGTGTGTGTGTGTGTGTGTGTGTTCCTCCAGGGCCTGTGATAATCAAGTGTGATTTGAATGTGTTTAATCAAAGCCTAAGGCTATACAGTATATGGAGTGTTGTGCGGAAGGCTGGAGGGTTTGTCCTTCACACAAGCATCACAGTGCCTAAACAAACACACCCACACCACACCACACACACGCACACACACAGCCAGCACACACACACACCACACACACACAACACACCACACACACAACACACACACACACACACACACACACACACCACCACCACACACACACACACACACACACACACACACACAACACACCACACACAGGGCTCATGTAGCATTTCTGTAAAAACAGTACTTCAGCTTTTGTGTCTCTTCCCTATTTTGAATGTATACCGTCAATCTGTCTCAACCCCACCCTACTATTTCTTGTTACCATCTCCTATGAGTATTACTTAGAAGTGGAGGGTAGAGGTGCAGTCTGACCTAGCTCAATGATCTAAGTGGATGCAGAAACAAAACTACACTACAAGGCACAGCCCTGGATATTTGATCTTGTCTGCACACCAAAATAATGAAGAGGGAAGTGTTAGAAATGAGTTATTTCAGATTAAGTGCAGGAAGAGAGCATGGGTTTGCAGCTGAGGAATGACCGATGAGAGAGAGAGAGAGAGAGAGAAGATCGAGAGAGAGAGGAGAGGGAAGACTGGGGAGGCGATTCACCACAGAAAGGAAAGAGAAAAAAGAATCACAACGGGAAGATGTAGGAAAAGGAAAAATATGTGGGAGTAAGGAAGAGAATTGAGGAAAAGGGGAAAGGGCAGAGCCACCGCAATCAGACTGGGAAGAAAGACAGGGACTGAATTGTGATCATGCCATGGCAACCAAGATCTGCCCGTCTCTTCCGTCCAGAGAGAGCACCTGTTGAACCCCTGCCAGGTAGCTTCAGGAGCCACTGATTACCGTCTCATGCCACACACAGCACACACACACACACACACACCACACACACACACACACACCACACCCACACACACAAACACACCACACACACACACACACACCACCACACACACACACACACACACCACACAAACACACACACACACACACACACACACACGACCACCACACACAACACCACACGACACACCACACACACACACACACACACACACACACACCACACCACACACAAAGCCCCACACAAGCCACGGCATGGCATGCACCTGTGTAGCTTGGAAAAAACGTCAGTCTTCAAGGAATCACAGCATTGGAACCTTGTTGTAACTCAAAATTCTCTTCCTTACCTCTCTCTCCTCTATCCTTCTCTCCTTGAATCAGCCTCAATTTACATTGCCCCTCCCGTTACATCAAGATTAATCGTGAGTAGTAATACTCACGAGCGCGCGTAAAACACATACAAATATGGTGTGCTGTGTATGTGCAGAGAATATTCCTGTTTGGAGTGTGTTATTCGTATCGCCGGGACAGTCTTCACATGTAGAAGCACATTACTGCGGGTCACAAGATCAATAAGAACTGTCGGATAGTGAGGTGGGTTGCTTTAAGATATCACTGCTCACAGTCGACTTCTTCTCGGACCTTGAGTTAAACATGATTGCACAATTCGAAGGATGTCTCTTGGTGCCTGAATAACATGATTCCAGCAAGAATCAAAAATGTATGGAAAAGTTTAATCAGTAATGACTCGGTTTTGTGTGCCATAAACACAACTATTTCCACAGGCGCGAACATTTCTGATACCGATTGACCATAGGTTCAAACTTCAAAACAATGTTGTACCCATTGTGTGGACCTGAACCAGTTTTCACCTAACATTCTCAAGTTAATTGCAGTTGACTATAGCAATGCGACATCTACTGGCTAACATCTATTGTGTTTGATTTAGTGGTGGAGTACGTTTAAGAACTATTTACAGCAGAGAAAGAGACAAGATAATTTAGCCTGCTGAATCAATTAACTTTCCAGCCAAAACTGTGATGAAATTGGGTTCACTGTTTGGGAATGTATGACTTTTTAATTTGGGAGTGTTGAGTTTTTTTTTACTTTCTTCGTTCAAATGAGCATGTCAAATTGTTTTTCAAAGTCACGAAAAAAGTGATGAGCGTAGCCGTCTCACAAAGACTGCAGTGTAGATGTTTGCAAAGGAGGGTTTGGGGACTGTTCCTCAATCAATTGCCGATATAAGGTGCTTGTGTAATACGTTTTTAAAAGAGTCACCTTCAGTCCATGTTTTATTGGAAGGGGCTTTATTTATGTTGTAGAAGGCCAAGCAGTTACACTTTGTATCGATCTGGAATGTCTGGGAGGGAGAAACGAGACGATTACAGCATTTCAGGCCCTTAGATAACATCGGTTTTAGATTTTTTTTTGCAAACTTGATCAACTAAACAGCAATATACTGTCAATAGCGGAAGCAAAAATTGGACGGATTCACATTGTTTTAGTTTTGGTTTTTTCAGTCCGTTTTTTTTTAGCATCTGGTCAAGTTGTTCAGGAAGGTTATGCGGTGATTTGATGTTTACTGTATGCATTTGACACGTGGGATGACAATTGACATTGGTGTTGTCGTAGCCGGATCTTATGTATCCATATTTGTTTCTGTGTTTGCTTGCACACGCCAATTTCAACAAAATTCTTCTACAACTTACAGCGTGTGTGAGAAACGATTGAAAGCACTGTCTGATACGGCAATTCGACAAACTTAATAAGCTGGGGTAAATGTGAACATGACTTGCGGACAAGTTTGAACAAATAAAAAATCTGAATTTTAAAGCAAAAGGCCTCTGGCAGCCTGGATGTTACTTGATCTCCAAGCTGTGGAGCGCCTCCCCTTAAAGCTGGATGAAACGAGTTATTTCTCTGCACCCATGCGGGTTGGGGAAGTTGATCAAGGAAGTCCATCAGATAAAGCTCACACGAACTCTGTCAGGGTGAACTTCAATGAGGACCTATCTGGCATACAGACCAATAGAAAAAAAGGATAGTAATTATGCAGACAAAGATGTTACATACTTGGAGCTTACAGTGACATTATTGGTATAATGTTTTAACCGGTCATCCTATTATGGCAAAATCCGACTTTTTTTCGTTCTTTGTAACAGTAAACATGTGTCCCTTCGCTGCTGTGTAGGAAGAGATTGTTTGAAAGTGGTCAGGAAAAGAAAGACATAGGGGTGTTTGCTTCATTTTGTGGCTCCTGATCCAGTTCTATGAAAGAGGACGCTGTCTGAAAAGTGAGCTGATCTAGATTTTGGCCCACGTATGATGGTTCAGTAACGATTTTTTGGCTCGATTAACCATTAGCCAATCCACCAACCAAGGTAACCCCCCCCCCTACCACCTTATACCTGAATCTCCTCCTAGAGCACCATTGTGTTCTTCTTTAGACCAAGAGGTATGTCTCGGAGGGCGTGGGGGAGGGCTCCATTATTTCATCTAAATGAACAGACAGAGAGATCAGTAACTATTGAAACAGGAGTGAAACAGAGGATTATGGGCATGCGTGCTAATGATCTGTGTTGGTATTGGGACCGCACGGGAACACTTCAGAGACAGTTTTTGAGATATCTTGAGACCTATGAATATATATTTGATTTGAAAACGAGTATATATAGGCGACCTTT